CAATTTGCTGCGAGCTGCAGGCTAGATTACTCTCGATTATCAACACTCGCGTCGACTTATTCTGGTCGACAGATACCTCCGACATAGACTCAACCGGCCCACTGTGGGAATACTCCTCCTGAACATGAAGATCTATGCAGTCTTCCACTAGACCCGGCTATGATTCGATCCTGTTGATTGTCATTGCTTGCTCGGGAATGCCCACCGGCTTCCCTTTCCCTTTGCATGTCATCTGCACTGCTCTCACATAGCAGTCGCGAGATTCGTTTTGAGACCCTTTTATTTCCCCACACCTTGTCAGAGTAGGCAACTTCATCTTCAGATGATAAATGGAGGTGGCGACCTTGAAACTTCGTAGTATAGGTCATTCTAGAATGCCATTAAAAGCAGACGAACAGTCTATCACGAAGAATTTCATTATCTTGGTCACTTCATTGGTCTCACCCAAAGTGATAGGAAGTGCGACTGTTCCCTTGGGAATCATATGATCCCCAATAAAACCATAGAGAGTGATAGAGGCAGACTTCAGATCTGCCTCGTCCAACTGCATCTCCTTAAAAGCTCGCTGAAATAGGATGTTCACAACGCTGCCATTGTCCACCAACATCCTATGGACTTCGCACCGACCTATTTCATCATGGGGATGATACAATCATACCACGTCTTTCTTTGAGAAGGTAGTCTCTTCTTCTATGCGAACCTTAGCGGGTTGCAACGACGTGCTCATCACACTCATGGGGTCATGACGAGCTTTCCAAGCGTACCTTTCATGGGCATCTCGAGAATTCCTCGTAAGGTGCAGTCCTCCAAAGATGATCCCCACAAAATAGAGACCCTTACGACCATGATGTTTCCTCCTTTATTCCTTTTGATCCTTCTCCCGAACGAGAGTCGGACCATCAACATACTCATTGAAGTGCCCTGCTTGATGAGGTCTTCAATTGCTTGTTTGAGAGCCCGACACTCATCGGTGTGGTGCCCATTATCCCGATAATAATGATAATATTTCCTGCTATTTCTTGCCGAAAGGGGATTGTTCATGGGCGATACTGACACGTTCAAAGGAGTATACTAATTCTTGTCGCAATCGCGATGAGGAACCTGGTCATAGGATTTCTTAGGCTCAAACCGCTGCTTTTTTCCCTTCCGCTGATCGTCATTAGCCCACATGCGATCAGCTCTTCTACTACCTTCCCCCTGGTCAAGAGCATAAGTCGAAGGGCTGGGGTCGTGGCGATTGAGAGCGGTCATGGAATTCTCTCTTCGGAGGCACTTCTTCGTAAGGTCGTAAAAGCAAGCGAGGGAAATGTCGTCCTCGGATTGTAGCTTCTTCTATAGGTCGGTCTGCGGGTGAACTCCCGTAATAATGAGAGTTCGAATAGATTCTTCAGGCATGTTAGTCACCTTGTGTAGCTCTCTGTGGAACCTGTCAATGTAAGATTGTAGGGATTCATTCTTCTCCTGTCGTATGTTGCTCAGATAGCTCAACGACATTGAGAACTTCCTATTCACCTATAAGTGTCTCAAGAATAATAAGCTCATATGTTGCCACGAGTTAATAGATCTTGGCGGAAGCGATTTAAACCAGCGCTTGGCGTAGGCAGTCAGGGTCACTGTTAAATAGCGACATTTGGCCAAGTTGGAAACTTGATGAAGCTCCATGAGGTCGTTAAACTCATAAAGGCGATCCTGCAGATCAAAATTCTCATCGAGTGCTCGCATATCGGGCATTCTAAACCTCAATGGGAGAGGAGCAGCTAACACTGCCGGAGAAAAGGGAGATGTCTCAGGAACTTGTCCACGCTCATTTTGTTGAGCTCTATGCTAATCTAGAGCTTGCTGTAACTCCTCAATCTAAGGCAACCAGCTACTTGAGGATCAATTTTCGCAACGTGGGTTCGACCCTCAAGATTATGGTTGAGGAAAAACCATAGATCGGACTCTTCCTTACCTCGACCGGAGGCTCCGACATATCTTGACACACGCTGACTAGAGCCATGTGAAAGCAATGAAAGGTTCGAGGAGTTAGCCCGACCTTCGTGGTGGTCAGAATTGACCCGCAGTTGCTGGGGTTTTCCCTGCCTTGCACTCTTGTGGGGGTGCCTATGCGATGTGGCGTGGGACTGTTCATGATGCGACATGTCGCCAAGCCACAAGTATTCTACCTATTTCACGACTGGTATTTACTGGTCCCTTGGAGTCCTTTGGCCCATTATCTGCCACCTGCTTTCCCTTGCCTTTACGTGCTGTAGTGCACGCGGCATGGGCGTTCGCCCGTTTTTGCGGTTTAGCGTGACCTACAGGCGTTTTTGGCAGTGGCACCGCCTTGTCAGACTCGGGTGGTACGATCTGATCCAAATGGTTTAACCTTCGATCAGGTAATCTATCACAGCTGGGTCAAGCTGTGAGCTCGAAGGAATGTCCGCCGCGGTACTATGCTGAATCAGGGGCACTTCGGGACAAGTGTCATCTTGTACCTGGGGGACCTCCTCGTTGCTGGGGCTAGCTCGCTCGGTTTCGAAACCATGGGCCATTTTCTATCGAACAGAATCGATTAATCAGAGATTCTTGATGAAGAGCGGATACTAAATCAGACCCTTCTTCTAGCGCCAAACTGTTGATGTTGGATTTTGACACCAACTATTCACATGTGCAAAGCGCTAAGGTGACTTAGGAATTACACGTGAAATGGAAATGAAAGGAAATAAAATGGAGACGATTTTTAAAGTGGTTCGGATGCTCAAAGCGAATCCTACGTCCACTATCTTTTTATAAATGAAATATTACAATCAGGTCGCAATTAGCAATGTAGAGAAAACAAAAATACAGAGAGGGAGATAGGGTATTTATCTTATCAGAATTCGAATCCCGAAAAATAAGAGGGGAGCTCTCTATTTATAGTAAGAGGTTTCTGGGTAATGATTACGGGTCTGCCAGCGGGCAAGTCCCGTACAGTTCCTACCCTACTTCCTATTGGTCGATAGCACAGAAGATATCCTTAAATCACGCAAGGCTTGGGCAGGTGGGTAACTCCCAGCCACTCACCCGCTAGGCCTTTACCTGCCAAACTAATAACAATCTTACTCTTTCTGTCCTTGGACGACGTGGCAGCGCCTGGATGACACAATGTCTTCTTGAACTCTGATTGGTCCTTGCTGATGCAGGCCTGCATCAAGCCTAATTTTTTAGGCATAACATTTTTAAATGGGATACTATTCAAATTACATCCTATAACTCCAAATTAATTATTAAAAATATAATTTAAAGTTAAAACCATTACATTAATCTGGTGTTAGTTTTCTTCTTTTTACTTACAACAAGGACGTATTTAATTATAATCGAAACACCATGTTGAGCACAATGTTACCAAAACCCTAAGTTTTTGATCTAAAAACATGAAACTAAATGGGATTATTATAACTTATTTAATATAATTAATGGACTAAATAGTAATTCCATTAATATAATTATGAGATTCTTATCTTTTTTGTTATTAGGAGTGTCCGAGCTAACTTACGCGCACCTCGACTGGTCCCCCAACCTCGAACAAAGGTTTTGAAATAAGACAAACCCTGCAGTCCGTGACCGACAATATTTAATAACCGTTCTTATGATTCGAACCTGAAACTACTGGGAGAGCAAAACCCTTAACCCGAAGCCTTTAAGACTCAGCCAACCCATTCTTGGTTCCATATCCATTATTTTACTAACATCTAATACTAATCCTCGCTTATGAGAGGTTGATTATATATAATATATGTTTTTTATTTTAATTTATATATTTAAAACTCAAATTAAATATTTTACAATTTATACATTTTATCCAGATAGATAAATGTAAAAAGGTTAATAAGTTTTAAATTAAAAGTCTAATCCTTATGAAAAAAGTATTTTAAAACCAATGGGAATAGGTTTCCCACCCTAATTGCCATTAGAAATTGACAAGACCAATCAGCGTCTAAGTAAATTGTTTTCTTGAGAAACAAGAAGACAATTAAAAACAGGTTATATAAACCCAACCTGACCTCTGGTCCTTCATCTATTTACTCTCTCCCTTTTCTCTAAAATATCTCTCCCGATCTGTATTGTCTTTCTCATTCTCTGAGCGACAATGACTCATCCGGCTGAATCCTCTAACGCGTGAGTCTACTCTCCAACTCACAACCCTTTTTTCCGTTTCATTCTTCTTCTGATTGATTGATTGNTTTAAATTACATCCTATAACTCCAAATTAATTATTAAAAAATAATTTAAAGTTAAAACCATTATATTAATCTGGTGTGTGTTTTCTTTTTTTTACTTACAACAAGGACGTATTTAATTATAATTGAAACACCATGTTGAGCACAATGGTACCAAAACGCTAAAGTTTTTTTTATCTAAAAACATGAAACTAAATGGGATTATTATAACTTATTTAATATAATTAATGGACTAAATAGTAATTCCATTAATATAATTATGAGATTCTTATCTTTTTTGTTATTAGGAGTGTCCGAGCTAACTTACGCGCACCTCGACTGGTCCCCCAACCTCGAACAAAGGTTTTGAAATAAGACAAACCCTGCAGTCCGTGACCGACAATATTTAATAACCGTTCTTATGATTCGAACCTGAAACTACTGGGAGAGCAAAACCCTTAACCCGAAGCCTTTAAGACTCAGCCAACCCATTCTTGGTTCCATATCCATTATTTTACTAACATCTAATACTAATCCTCGCTTATGAGAGGTTGATTATATATAATATATGTTTTTTATTTTAATTTATATATTTAAAACTCAAATTAAATATTTTACAATTTATACATTTTATCCAGATAGATAAATGTAAAAAGGTTAATAAGTTTTAAATTAAAAGTCTAATCCTTATGAAAAAAGTATTTTAAAACCAATGGGAATAGGTTTCCCACCCTAATTGCCATTAGAAATTGACAAGACCAATCAGCGTCTAAGTAAATTGTTTTCTTGAGAAACAAGAAGACAATTAAAAACAGGTTATATAAACCCAACCTGACCTCTGGTCCTTCATCTATTTACTCTCTCCCTTTTCTCTAAAATATCTCTCCCGATCTGTATTGTCTTTCTCATTCTCTGAGCGACAATGACTCATCCGGCTGAATCCTCTAACGCGTGAGTCTACTCTCCAACTCACAACCCTTTTTTCCGTTTCATTCTTCTTCTGATTGATTGATTGTTTGATTGATTTTTCTTATGGATTTTTACAGGAGTTCGGGGAAGAAGGACTTCTCCACGGCGATTTTGGAGAGGAAAAAATCGCCTAATCGGCTGGTCGTTGACGAGGCGGTTAACGATGACAACTCCGTCGTCGCTTTGCATCCTGATACCATGGAAAAGCTCCAGCTTTTCCGCGGCGACACCATTCTCATCAAAGTACGATTTCTCTCTTCTCGAATTTTAAATTTATGTTTGTATTTATTAGGTTAGATTTTTTTTTGTTTTTTTTTTTTTTTTGTTCAGATGTAGGTTTTATTTAAGCTTTATTATTATTATTATTTTGTTATTTGGTCGAATCATTAATACTAATTTTTTAGGATCAGGTCTTTTATTTTAATTTTGTAAGTTTATGTTAGAAAGACTAGGTCTGTTGACTAGGCTCTCATCCTCAATTTTATTACAGGAATTTTAGGGTTGTATCTTACATTGTATCTGATTTTGTTGATTAAGTTACTTACATCTTGTGATTTGGCTTTTAGGGAAAGAAACGAAAAGATACAATCTGCATTGCTCTTGCTGACGATACATGTGAACAGCCTAAAATCAGGATGAACAAGGTTGTTAGATCCAATCTTAGGGTTCGACTTGGGGATGTTGTCTCTGTGCACCAGTGCCCAGATGTTAAGTATGGCAAGCGTGTTCACATTCTTCCTATTGATGATACCATTGAAGGAGTTACTGGGAATCTGTTTGACGCTTTCTTGAAACGTGAGTTTTTACTCTCTCATGTAATTAAGTTTTGCATTCATTTGATTAAAAAGAAAAGAATCTGTTTAATCTTGTTTTGTGTGGTTTTTCTGCAGCTTATTTCTTGGAGTCTTATCGCCCTGTGAGGAAAGGAGATTTCTTCCTTGTTAGAGGTGGAATGAGGAGTGTTGAATTCAAGGTCATTGAAACTGATCCTGGGGAATACTGTGTTGTTGCTCCAGACACTGAAATTTTCTGTGAGGGGGAACCTGTGAAGAGGGAAGATGAGGATAGGTTGGATGAAGTCGGTTATGATGACGTTGGTGGTGTTCGAAAGCAGATGGCTCAGATTCGTGAGTTAGTGGAGCTTCCATTAAGGCATCCTCAGCTCTTTAAATCAATTGGTGTGAAGCCACCAAAGGGGATCTTACTTTATGGACCCCCAGGTTCTGGAAAGACTTTGATAGCCAGAGCTGTCGCTAATGAAACTGGTGCTTTCTTCTTTTGTATTAATGGGCCAGAAATTATGTCCAAATTGGCTGGAGAGAGTGAAAGTAATCTCAGGAAGGCATTTGAAGAAGCGGAGAAGAATGCTCCATCTATAATCTTTATTGATGAGATTGATTCCATTGCTCCCAAGCGAGAGAAGACAAATGGTGAAGTTGAAAGACGTATTGTTTCACAGCTTTTAACTCTTATGGATGGGCTTAAATCCCGAGCCCATGTTATTGTTATGGGGGCTACTAATCGCCCAAATAGTATTGACCCTGCTTTGAGGAGGTTTGGTAGATTTGATAGGGAGATAGACATTGGTGTTCCAGATGAAGTTGGGCGCCTTGAAGTTCTCCGCATCCATACGAAGAACATGAAGCTGTCTGATGAAGTAAGTTGCATTTGTTCTCTTTACTTTTAGAAAGGTGCAACTTACTTTAGAAAGTAAGTTGTATGCAGTTTCTGTAAACTAGTAAACCAGTGAACTATATTAAGAATTTGATTGGTTAAATGGTGATTCTAAATACCAGTTGAACACAGTTCCGATGTATCAGTTGTTAAGCCATTATATGAACTCAGCATTATTTTTTTGGGGGTCAAAGTTTCACCATATCATCTAGTTCCTTGTTGCTGAAAATGGGTTCTTCCCTTTACAGGTTGATCTAGAGAGGATTGCTAAAGATACTCATGGGTATGTCGGTGCTGACCTTGCTGCTCTGTGTACCGAAGCTGCATTGCAATGCATCAGAGAGAAAATGGACGTGATTGATTTGGAGGATGAAACTATTGATGCAGAGATACTTAATTCTATGGCTGTTACAAATGAGCACTTCCAAACTGCACTTGGAACTAGCAACCCTTCTGCTTTGCGTGAAACTGTGAGTAACTTTCTGGGGATGCTTATCATGATTTGGCTTAGTATTGTTTCTGTGTTGAAGTAGATAATTTTTTATAGTTGCCTTGTGGATAAATATTTGCCACTGTGATTTAATTGTTTGTTTTTGGCTGACAGGTTGTTGAAGTTCCCAATTGCAGCTGGGAGGACATTGGAGGCCTTGAAAATGTTAAGCGTGAGCTTCAAGAGGTAATAATCATTATTCAATACTGGATTAAGACATATTTGAGGATGTTTTCAGTTTTCTATGCTCCAGAAACATGTTTTCAAGAATGAGATTCAATATAAATTATTAAGTTTCTATAGTTTTCTTAAAAATACTAGAAGCATGAATTTTTGTGGTTGTATCATAGCTGCGAATAAGATCATGGTTTTTACCTTAATTCAAGTGATTAAGATTTATATCAAGCAAAAAAAAAACACGTGATTCTATATGATTTTTCTAAAATATTTAATATGTAGATACATATTTGTTGTTTAAAATAAGAATATCACGTGTGGTATCCTTACATATTTTTTTTCCAACTTTTAGCTAAGAGTTTATTTTTTATTGCTTTACAGACTGTTCAATATCCTGTGGAGCATCCAGAGAAGTTTGAGAAATTTGGCATGTCACCCTCAAAAGGTGTCCTTTTCTATGGTCCCCCGGGGTGTGGGAAAACTCTACTTGCAAAGGCAATTGCAAATGAATGCCAAGCAAATTTCATCAGCATTAAAGGCCCTGAACTGCTCACTATGTGGTTTGGTGAGAGTGAAGCCAATGTTCGGGAAATATTTGACAAGGCTCGACAATCTGCACCATGTGTTCTTTTCTTCGATGAGCTTGACTCTATTGCAACTCAGGTGAATTCTTTGTTTCATCATTATTTTACTTTTCAGATTTAGATGTGCATCTACTTTTTTCTTAGTAAAATTTAAGTTTAGATCTATATCTTTGGAAGAAATCATGACCAGTAATTATTTTTGTATAGCAAAACCCTTGGACTAATTCAAATGAAATGTTGGAATGCATTAACCCCTATGGTGCTTTTGTTTTGCATGTCTTCCCATGTTTTTTTGATCAGTTCTAATTAAAAAATTTCTGTCAATGTTGCCAGAGGGGAAGCAGTGTCGGGGATGCCGGTGGTGCTGCTGATCGAGTTTTGAATCAACTCCTTACTGAAATGGATGGCATGTCAGCTAAGAAGACAGTTTTCATTATTGGGGCCACAAATAGACCTGACATCATTGACCCAGCACTTTTGCGTCCAGGTCGTCTTGACCAGTTAATTTATATTCCTCTACCAGATGAGGATTCACGCCATCAGATCTTCAAAGCCTGTTTGAGAAAGTCACCAGTCTCAAAAGATGTTGATATTAGAGCATTAGCAAAGTATACTCAGGGCTTCAGTGGGGCAGATATTACTGAGATATGCCAGCGAGCTTGCAAGTATGCCATTAGAGAGAACATAGAGAAGGTATGCCTCTGCACTTGTTGTTTGCTTTGTATAAAGTTATGGAACATGGTGTGAATGTATAATATTTCATTGCAAATAACTTTACAAAATGTTTTACATTACTAAAGGATATTGAGAAGGAGAGAAGAAGAAGGGACAATCCTGAAGCTATGGATGAGGATGTCGAGGACGAAGTGCCAGAGATTAAGGCTGCTCATTTTGAAGAGTCCATGAAGTTTGCTCGCAGGAGTGTCAGTGATGCTGATATCCGCAAATATCAGGCATTTGCTCAAACCTTGCAGCAGTCTAGGGGTTTCGGAAGTGAATTCCGGTTTTCTGAGGCTGGAACAGGGGCTACTACTGGATCTGATCCATTCTCCACTTCTGCTGGTGGGGCGGATGACGATGATTTGTATAGTTAGGTTTTATTCACTTGTTCAAGTGTCCCGCCAAAGAAATTTCCTTATGTATGTGACATTTGTCTTAAGCTATTTCATTTACCACAAGATATGGAACTTGTAGGTTCTTTCATCATGGGACTAGGTTTACCAGTTAGTGTTATTTCATTTGCTACATTTAACATTCAGTTTCCAATTGTCAAATTGTTATTTGTTTTTATTTATGGATTAAACTGACAATGAAAAATTAGAAGTTCATGACGCTTTTCCTGTTGTTTGCAAAGTATTTTATGTTTTACTGGTTGAGTTTCCACATCCCTTATTTTGAACTAGATTGCATGGCCATGAGCTTCATGTGATTATAAGTTTCCTTGCCATACGGATACGGTGTTATTCAAGTGGGAATATATATATATATATATGGGTTAGGTTTAATAGTATCTCGTTTTCAGTATAAATTTAGTCACAATTAATAGAACTAGGTTTATAAATTTCAAAATAATGATTTCAATTTTAAAGAAAGTTGGCTAGCTAAATTTCTGTGAATTCCAATAAGATTTAGGTTACTCTGTTTTCTTCATTAACTCAGTCTCTAGAATTGGGTGAAATAGTTGCCAAAATTGCAAAGGGATATAGCTGAGCAATGAGGCCAGTTGGGTTAATAAATTAGTTAAGAGTTCACATGCTTTACATGGAAGGAGGGGAGGCTATTTATGAGACTTCTTGTCAAAACGGTGATAGCTCAGAAAGGTTAGATGACCCAAATTTTTTGAATGACATTGAACGGTGTAAGGTGAGCCGTGAGTTAGTCGATGCTGATCCCAGTACTCTAAATAGGTTCACTTGATTCCGAATTCAAAAACATTAATAATAATGATCTTCACGTGCGGATTGTAACATAAATAATACCTTCTTCTGAAAAAAAAAAAAATGGTTGACATCGTGCTGCATTGAATACTAAAACTACATTGAACCTTATATTAAAATAAATTATAGAAGTCTAGTTCCAACAAAACTCCGGTTTCTGGCTCATGTCAACATAACATATTTGATGTATGTAGCTAATTACATGATACAGAGATATGCATTGAGGGAAGAGAAAGAATAAACATTGAAACAACAGTTATTAGTAACAAAACCATCTTATTTATATATATATATATATATATAAACTAGTTCTATTCTGCCATACAAGCATACAATAATTTTGTTTTCCACACGTAGAAACTCCATCAGTCATCACAAAATTAATTAATTTGTTCTCCATTCCAAAAACATACTTCACCTCTCATTCCTCAACAGGCTGATATATTATAATATAGAACCCGAAGAGAAGTTAAACCAATTTCCATCATCAACTTGGAAACCATATACAAAATATTTAACTTAATTAATTTGGTCTTCAATGTTTCCTGGGGCTTACTTTATTAGGACACCCACCAAAAACTCGAGAATTCACATAGCGGCTTGGAGCTGATGCATGCCTATACCCTTTTGGCAAGCAATTTTTCACTTCTTTCCCGTTAAAAACCCGGTTCTTGGTCGTTGATAGAGGCTTCACTTTCACGTAATCTTCCGATAGAGGCCTCATGGTGCTCGGAACACTCGACGGAATGCTACGTCCAGCCATGGAAACTTGCCAAGAACTCAACAATAACAGGACATAGAATATTATCATAATGTAAAAGCTGCTTGTGGTAGACATAATGATATTGTTGGTGGAAGCTGTAATATGTTTTTGAGTTTGGGTTTGGGTTTGAGAAGGGAGGGGCGGGGCGGGGGTTTTATGGGAGAGTTTGAGTTGAGGTGAAATCAAAAAGGGACTTAAATAAGCTCGTGAGTAGCTGAAAAGTAAAGCAGATATGAATGAATATGACAACAGCTCATAGCAAAAGAGCATTATATCTTTGGAGGTGTGGTGGTGACTGGTGAGGTGGGTGCTCTTTTTTATTACCACGAAACAGGTGACGATGCCCGTGAGTTGCACTAAATCTCTTCCATTTACGCTTCAAATTTCTGCGTATTAATATCTGTTACTTGTAATTTTCACTTATTGATATATGCTCATGTCTTGGTCAGTAATTAAGCTGGTTGATAATGTTCATCTCCCAGTTGGCGGTCTTTATAGCAGTTGGCTCGAATTTGTTTTCAAATTCAAAGTGATTTACTCAACAAAAACCATTTAATACATACAGTTTCAGGATATTTCAAACAAGCTAGCGTCGACACTGCCTCTTTAATGTGAGTTAAGATGGTGGAGACATATATTGCTTATAGCTTAATATACATTGATATTCCATTAATTGAATTACATAGAGTAAGCCACCGTTTACCAGCAATAATAATGAAGATAATTAAAATTTTGTCAACAAGTTTGTTGGTGAAGTATATATATTATATATAAAGCTGAGAAAGTTTGGGGTTGAGAGAGCATATTTATATCTATTAATTAATTAACTACCGCATAAAAAAAATAGTAACAACTTGAATATATCGTTAAATCACACAAAACTGTGAAGCAGAAAAGTAAAAAGGATAATCAGTTTACTGTGGTTCATTTTTAATTAAAGGAACTATGTCCAACATTAAAGATGAAAAAGTTTTATTGAGTTTTCAGGAATTTGGAGCAATATAAGAATAATAGTGTCAGCAGCTCACTCAAACTCTCCTTTTTCGCAATATTTCTCACTTAGGTTTTTCACTATTAAAACACATATATAAAACGAGCAATAGTAAACTTAATCACATTTGGGTTAAAGTGTTCCATTTCCAAATATTTACAAACCAATTTCAAACCCATATATAAAATGAGCAATAATAAACCTAATCACATTTGAGCAAGACCCTGAAGTATGTCAACGTCCTTCGATAATTCGTCAATCCTGTATAAAAGTATGAACCACATCCAACACCGATGAATGACAACCATCTATAAAGCTTTCTTAATTTATCATTTTTTTTGAAAGAAAATTTCTTCTATTCCACATATCATTTTACCTGTTGTGTCTTAATTTTCATTCAAGAATTTGCAAACTGTAACATTACTACTTTTCACAGAACTTCATTAAATAAGTTATATTTAATTTTAGTTTAAATTTTTTTATATTTGTACGTGCAGACTTATAGAAGTGTGGCAATATTCTATTCGATACTGGTATTTAATGAGCAGTAAAAATGGTTATTGCGGAGGTGGCACCGGCCTTAAATGAGTTTAAAGTCTTGGTCTAATATTTATTGTTATTGAAGCATTTCATTTGATATGAGCTTGGAGATCCTGTCTCCTAATTTCAAGTATGAAACTCGTAACACCAATTATTATGCTGCTGTAGTCTTTTATTTATGTTGCAACTTTAACTCTTTAAATAATAATAAAATATATCGATTTACTTTTATCATGATCTTATATCATGATCCTTAGAAAAACGCAATAAACTTGAAGTTTTGTTACATTTTCAAATCAAATATAGAATATTGAAATTACAATTCACTGCATATACCATGATTTGAGAACCCGNAGTAAACTTAATCACATTTGGGTTAAAGTGTTCCATTTCCAAATATTTACAAACCAATTTCAAACCCATATATAAAATGAGCAATAATAAACCTAATCACATTTGAGCAAGACCCTGAAGTATGTCAACGTCCTTCGATAATTCGTCAATCCTGTATAAAAGTATGAACCACATCCAACACAGATGAATGACAATCATCTATAAAGCTTTCTTAATTTATCATTTTTTTTGAAAGAAAATTTCTTCTATTCCACATATCATTTTACCTGTTGTGTCTTAATTTTCATACAAGAATTTGCAAACTGTAACATTACTACTTTTCACAGAACTTCATTAAATAAGTTATATTTAATTTTAGTTTAAATTTTTTTATATTTGTACGTGCAGACTTATAGAAGTGTGGCAATATTCTATTCGATACTGGTATTTAATGAGCAGTAAAAATGGTTATTGCGGAGGTGGCACCGGCCTTAAATGAGTTTAAAGTCTTGGTCTAATATTTATTGTTATTGAAGCATTTCATTTGATATGAGCTTGGAGATCCTGTCTCCTAATTTCAAGTATGAAACTCGTAACACCAATTATTATGCTGCTGTAGTCTTTTATTTATGTTGCAACTTTAACTCTTTAAATAATAATAAAATATATCGATTTACTTTTATCATGATCTTATATCATGATCCTTAGAAAAACGCAATAAACTTGAAGTTTTGTTACATTTTCAAATCAAATATAGAATATTGAAATTACAATTCACTGCATATACCATGATTTGAGAACCCGAAGATGTGTTATTACAAATGTTATAAAATATTTGAGTAATACTATGTCACAACTCAATCTTACAATCTTCTTTTATAATTTCAATAAGATATTTGATTTGACAACTGTCGATCACGTTAGCTCTCATCACACCCAAGACATTAAATGATTTTGACTAGACACTAATAATTGTTTCTTAAGGACAAACGACCGATTCTTTATAAGGAGTGACAGTTCCTTATGAATGAATGATCATTCCTTCGAAAAAATGGCAATTCCTTATGAACGAATGATCATTCCTTATGGATGTTTCTTATGATCATTCCTTCATAAGGAATGATTGTTTTTTTATTAATAAAACAATAATTTTTTATTAATAAAACAATAATTTTTTATTAATGAACAATCGGTTTGTCTTTAAGGAATGACTATTCGTCTCTAATTAAGGAACGATCGTTCACGTTTAGTTAAAATTGTCAATTGATATAGTAGTGTTAACTTTACTGTTACGTTAAAGTTGTAAGAGAAAATTGTGAGATTAGGTTGCAAACCTAATATTTTTGGAATCACTAATGAAAGAGAAGAGAAAAGGACCCCATTGGTAACGTATCTCATCTTTCCATAAAGCGTCCTGGCAATTGGTAAAATATTGTTGGGGGAAAATTCAATAATCCTGGCCACTTTCATACTATCATTTTAAAACTTTCATAAAGATTACTTAATAATCTTGGCTGTGGCCCTTCTATTTAGTTGGGTTTTATCAATTTTAGAACAAGTAGGCAAGTGATTGCAACCACTAGCTTGATTGAATTATCAACAAATCTAATAATACATTGAATAGGTACTAAATGCATATAAATGAAAAGTAAATAAAGGGACTTAATTGTTGGATGGAAATTTTATTAGGGATACTTTGTAATTATTGTGTATTCACATAAAAAAGTTTACCTTTCACCAATAGTTCACTAACTTGCTAATTCTTTGGCAGGTACAGAAGCTCTATAATGAGCCTCAACAGATTACATAACTTTGCTCAAGTGTTAGATAGGAAAGTGCAAAAAGAACATAAAAGGATGATAACTGAAAAAGGCCCAAAAAATGACAATGGGGAAGCGTAAAATGAATTGAGCAGCCTAAGATTTTGATTGTCAATAATGAGGAAGAAGTTTTCGTAAAGGCTAAAAGTATATGGATATTGCAGTTCTCATAATAGGCCGGTGAAAACTTATTTCAATGCGATTAATATGCTATGTCAACATTGATTGCGCCCCATTTGTTTTTTTTTTTTTTTTCTTTCATTTATTGTATTATGGGTTTGCTTGCAGATTGGGCAGATCTGAACATCTGATTCTGGGTTGTATCATAAATTTGACATATTTATTACAAAGTAACTTAAATCCTTTATTTAATGGAGTGAACTAACGGTGGTTTTCAAACTAAAATTTTCACCTAAAAGATTTACTTGAACTAAGTTTTACAGTTGTAAATGCAACCACAGACTCAATAGATGATGATTTATATGCCAATGAGAAAAAACAAAGAAAAGAGAGGTTGGAGACAAAGGGTGTGGACCCTTTTTTATATAAATAAAAATATATTATATTTATCTTTTGAATAATATTGCTTATCTTAAAAAGTTATTCCAAAATTCTCATCCCAAACTGATGTGTTATTGTGTGGTGTTTAGATTTAAATGAGGTGGTGAATAACATGGCATTAACTATCTCTGGATGATCAAGTGGTTCGATAGAAATTTTTAACTGTATTACTCAAGAGATTCTGAGTTTAAGTCTCTCTTTAGTTGCTAATAGGGATAGCTACTAGAGTTTTTATATGACCAATGCTTCTAGGATCCTGAGGATTAGTTAAAGTGGACGTAAACTGAATCAGATACTCTCGATCATATAAAAAAAAAAAAAAAAAGATATAGTATTGTCAAATAAGATGACACCTCATTTGATATATGTAATATTACTCTTCTCTTTTTATATAATCTATTTCCACGTCTAAAATAAAAACTACTTTATGCTTTCATCTAAACATAGTAAATCATTTTTTTTTTTTTGTGTGTGTGTGTTTTCAAATATTGCTTTGAAATGAAATGTGATTTTATTTTTTACATCTTCAATTATTTTTAACATTATGAAAAGAATAGGAAAAAAAATAGAAAATTTATAGAAGAACACACCGCCATTATAATTTTAAGATATGAATTATAAATAATTAAATACAAACTTGTAAATGTAATATCCTGTTAGTGGGTAGAACAGAAAGTCACCATGAATTTCAGAATTTCAAACGCATAAACTTGGTGGCAATTTTGAAATTAGTTGTGTCAAGAAGGGCTAAATTAAGAATTTACGAGGACGAAGATAAGAGAACTTCGAACTAGCGTTGTAGTTCGTGCGTTTATGTTTTTAAAACCCGGGACTAAGACCCTCTTCAAATGGAACTCCCATTGCTGCGATCTTTGTTTTCTGCTTCCTTTTCTAACTGTAAGTTAACCAAACTCTAATGGCATTTTCTTCTTCAAATAGCTTTTAAAACAATTTAAAATCTTTTACAATTGCTGAATATCTTAATTATGAATGTAATTAATAGAGTATTAGGAAGGTAGTTGATGCAAATGTAATAAAGTTATGAAGCAAATGGGCAGCAGGACTTTTATGGGGTGGGGTGGTGATTTATATGAGTATGCGTAGTTTTCAGGGTCATTTAGAGACGGGGTTTTCGTGTTTTGGTGAAACTACCATACGCCATTGATTATAATCTTTATGATGAAAAGTTTGTGCTATTATGGTGCTCCTAATTTAGATAAAGATGGTTTCTTGTTTTTCTGAAATTAATTAGAGTCGTTGTGGGTGGTGAGGAAACAATTGAACTAATGTTGATTGAAGATGACTAGATGAGTGCTTGATTGAACTTTTAATAATTTGATGGGTAAAATGAATGCTTTAATTAGTATTTTTTTGGTATGTTTAACTGGGAAAGACAATGGTTTTCTTGGAATAATTTAAGTGTTTTGGTTCACAGCTAATACAAGTTTAGAGTTTTCTTTCAGGTTGTGTTTTATCAATTATCATCTTTATTGACTATTGTTCAGGACGTAGAATAGAAAGATCCTTGATGTGGTGTGTTAAAATTGTAAATTTCACATTTTGCTGAATCACTTAATTGGATTCTCATTTGGCTTTGCATGTAGGAAAATTAGTTTCAGGGATGACTTTTAGGATTCTGGGTTTGTGTTGGAATTGGAGAACGTGTACACATTTGGAATTAGGATTCCCTCAGTGAGGAAATTATGGTTGTGCCACTGTAATCTTTCGTTCTTATTTCAACCTATATGGTTTTACTCGGTGTTGGAGTTTGATAGCTTTTGCCTTATTCTGAGCCAAATATGTACTTGATGTTCTCAATGGCCTCGAATGTCCTACGCCGTCAATATGATTTTGTACCAATTATAACTGACGCCTAGATGAATTATAACATTTACATTGAAGTATGAGCTAGTATTAAATATGATTAATTGATTATTGGAATTTGCTGAAAGCAAACCTAGAATTATATCAGGCAACTCTTTAAAGATTGCTCTTGTTGTTCACAAAAATTATTTTTGTTTTAACTTTTTATATGTTTCTCTGTCCTTGTTTACTGATAGAATGCTTGCCTTCTTTATATGGGCTATTGGGCTAGTAGGTATCCAGTCCTTTTGTTTGCTTAATTGAGCTTTATTTCATTCTGCTTGTATTTGCCTCAATACCTGCTCTCGTCTCCTATATCTTTTGGGGCTGTATTGGCTAATAACCTTTTGCCTTAATATTTTCAATCCTGGAGCTTCTTAGCAGTAAATGCATGTTGGGGAGTTGAATGCATTGCTGGGTATTCTACCCTGCACCAGCTTTCAGTCCCCCTGTTGTAACATACAAGTCAATTTCTATACATAAGATTCTGATGCATGCTCAACCAGTTTGGATATAGGTTTTAACCCACAAACGTGCAATTTTTTATTATGTAATTTAATAATGTTTGGTGCATTTAGATTTAGTAAGTCTTTGTACTAAAAACATTTCTGTGTTACTATATGAAGGCCTTCCATTGACAGGTTTATTGGTAAGCCACGGATTGATTTTTTACTATATACTTTATTGAGAAAAAATTATATGATATTATGCATGAATATGGATTTTATTATTTCTTTTTTATTTAATTTTTTATCTTAACTCTTACTAGGTGGTCGATATCTTTTCATTTGAACATTCATTTTTTCTTTCAGTTTTCTTCTTGTGTTTCCACTCTCTTTTTAGTTGCTTTGCTATATTTGTCTTAAAATTCTTCCCATTGTTAAAATTTCTGACACTGTAGTCTGGTTCTGCTGCGAACAATGACATTTCGGTTTTGGCTTAATGCTTATTGTATGATTGCATCTAATTTGCCAATTCGCTGATTTTAAGTCAAGCTCCTTATCTTGACATGTAATTGTCCTACATTCAGTTGAGGCCTGGAATTTACGTATCCCTGCTAACTAGATTGATCAAAAGAATGTGGTTTTAATTAAATGGATGAATCTACTTGTAAGAATTTCCAATAGAAAGATAACTGACGGGGGCTTTAGCTAATCTTTTCTTTTGACATGCTTCAGTCACTGGGGACCTGAAGCTGAAAGTTGATAGAGGATTGCAGAGTAAATCGTTTTATTTAAGTGATATAAAACCTCAAGAACAAGGAAGAAAGATATCCACGGTGTCTTCTGCTCTGCCAGAAACAGCTGCTTCTGTGGCAATTGCTGCCACAGTTGTCGGTGCTGCAGCTACCCTTCTTGTGAGAAGAACGAAAGGCTCTGAGGCAACTGAGGTGTGTCATTCATTTATGCTTGTTCTAATCTAAAATGTGCCTTTGGATGGGTAATATCACTTGTTACATGCATCAGCTTTGATTCTCTTATAATAATTGATTCTCTCTATCTATTAATCATCTTTGAAAAATTAGTTTAATTGTTGAGGAAAGTTTTTCATTTCACTTAGGGCAAAAGGATAAAGAATGCCCTGGTGTTCTATCAAAAGTATAAGTACTGTTTGCTCATTCATTAATGCTTACTTTTAACATAACTTGACGTTGTTCACCACTTCATGATTACAAATGATGCCATGTTACAGACCTTAATGAAAATTTTGTTTTACTAGTTTTGAAATAGGAAGTCAACTGACATCATTTTCTCATCTGAACTATGAACTTACCTTATAAGTGAGAAAAGGGGATGGTTGGGAAAAATTGTCCAAATGGGCCAGTTTTATTGTTTTTGTTTGACTTGTAGAAACTCAAGTTTCTTATAGTGTTAATAGTGAGATTGCAATTAGTTTACGTGTGATCTTTTTAAGTTTCACATTTTCTTTAGTCCTTTTTAATTCGCTCTTCTTTCATATTTCTCAAGAAGTGTTATATGGGCATGTAATAGCTACTGCTTAGTGTGTTTTTATATATACATTTGCTTAAAATCATTTCTGAAAAACATACACACACCAAAAATAACATTTAACTGGATTTTAAAAAAATCTGATTCTGTAACTGTTTCATCTAAAATTTGCATCAATTAAGTAATTTTTTCCTGCAAAATGCAGATTCCTATGAAAACATGTGAAGATTGTGGTGGTTCAGGTATATGTTCTGAATGCAATGGTGAAGGATTTGTGCTCAAGAAACTATCTGATGTAAGTGCTGAGCGGGCAAGAATAACTGCAAAGAATGCCGCCACTCGATACACAGCAGGGTACATTTTCTGCTGATCTCGCTCTCATTTTGTAGTCCCTTAGTCTTATTATTCAGCTGATGATGAGATGAATTATCTCAGGCTTCCCAAGAAATGGAGCTACTGTACAAAATGTTCTTCTTCAAGATCCTGTACTACCTGCGATGGCCGTGGGAAGTTAAGCTTCTAGTTTTTCTGATTTTTGTGCTTTCAATGGAGATTGGTGCTTCTGTATCCATCTTTGTCGTAATATACAGAAGATTATAATCCGCTTTCAATGAAGAAATTAAAAAGCGAGTTGATTTTCTTTAAACGCCCTTCAAATGATGAGTAATGTATAAATATATTTTTGTAAAAATCGCATCCAATTAATATTTCCTTATTCATAGGAAGGCCTTTCAACACCTTTATTTCATTGGCTCTCATGAGAAACAGATAAGTTTCAAGCGTCCTATTGATTTTTGGAAGTTTTTAGTAAGTATTAGATACTTTCATAAAATTAGCAAAAACCCTCAAAAAATATTAAAAAGCCCTTGTAACTTGTAAGTATCATATCTAGAAAGGTTTTTAATATTTTATAAAAAAAAAATATATATTACAAATACAAAGAGTTTTAAGTGAATTATTATTAGATGATTTGATGGTAAAATAGTAAAAGAAGGTTTTATGAATTTTTAAGTTCAAATTCCTTAGTACTATTATAGAGATCATTATTGAAACTCTTAATTGGTTTATCTTTTTAAAGTTTCAAAAAATTAGTTGAAAAAGACACAAGTTAAAAAAAAAAAACAAGAAAGAAAAAGAAAAGTCTTAAATGATGTGACAAACTTGCTTGTTATCATATTTATGATTTTTCTTCCTCTTATTTTACTTTCCTACGACGTGTTTGCCAGTTGTTCAGAAAAGGTTAACCGAACTAAAGAAAAATGCTGTCTTCTTGGTGGCCGTATTATAAAATCTTTAATAATTGTTTAAGAAAACTTAAGACGAATCTTGTACTGTACGCTAAAGTATTAACGATTTGTTTAATGGAAGTCCAAAGACAAGTGGTTAATTGGATCTGTACGGGCGAAAGGTGCGTTTACTTTTCATGTGAATTTGTATAACTTATCAGACACAAAGTCAACTTCTCCTTAAATCCAAGAATCTTCCCAGTTTTTAAATCTTATGAATTTTATTAAATTTTTAGGTGTGACCCTCGTGATTACATTTATTGTTCTTATGATTTAATAAAAAAAAAAAAAAATGAAAGATATGGTGCGTACATGCATTGTCAAAATTGAATGGATTTTCATCTTGTCTAATGTTAACGTTTTCTATATTATATAACTTGATTTTGATTAAACTATATTATAAATATTAACATTTATTAATGGGATGTATCTTTATTTCAAGAATTATAATAATTCATGATTAGTGATCTCTTATATTTTAACATTAACTATCTCTTGTTAATAGTGAAGAAATTTGCTGATAATACCCATAAATTAGTTTTTCTTTGATCTTTTTGAATTAATCAATACCAGTCAATAATATTGGATTATGATGTATGAGTATGATTATGTTAAACAGAAATCTGATTCTACCACAAGAAATACAACAATCCAATTCTTAACCAGATAACATAAAGATCAATACTTCTTCTGAATTCATTATATTGCAATCAAAATATATCTAAAATTTTAGATTGCAATAAATAAGTATTTAGGAAAATTTTTTTTTACTGAAATACACTCCCACACATGACTGTACAACCATATTTTTCACTTATTCTAGATAGCTAGTTCAACTTCAACTCACTCTATGCGGTGAAGTTCATCTAGTTAACGTTTACTATTGAGCCCTAACATGGATCGGTGTAGTATTGGGTGGGGTTGGAACCGAAACGACATCGCGTTTATTACCACGTTCTGATTTACTGTTCTCCGCAACTTGAGGCTTCCTTCATGCAAACCTTGACGCTTCTCCTCTTCAGTCCATTCCAAGTGTAATAATATTCCTCTCTAGTTTTCTCAGGGTCTTCTGATGGTGGAAGAAACATGCTCCCCCACTGCGGAAAGTGGATAGAGCAACAGGAAGATACAGGCCACAGTCATTACCCCCATCCAAAGATTCCTGTTCCCGTGCTGAATCTTGAGCTCGAGAAAAACGCCAACTGTTCAACCCACCCGAAGTTCCCTCCGGCTCCGGTTAGGCCTGATATCAAACCCAATGTCGGCGTGAAACAAATGGGACTATCCCAAAAGTTGCACCGCAAGCGGCTTGAGTCCCGAGAGAGAAGAGGACCATTGCCACTACGCATCGAGGGGTGATGAGTGTGGCGCGACCGAGCCATATACAGAAGACGCCTCCTAGAGTTTGGAATATCCAGAGGACCCATAGCCTGCCACGCATGCCGAAGAGTCTAGCCGCCACATCGGAAGCGTAACCACCGAGGGACGAGCGAAGAAGTTCGCCCATGCCGAAGGTTGCAGCTATGGTTCCGGCGGTGTGGAGCTTAAGATTGAACCTGTTTACACATGCAATATTATAATATTATGGTTAAATAGTTCAAGCCTTGGATTTGTGTGTCAAAATGAGTTAATAATATTTTAGCTCACCTGTCAAACATATATCCTGCAATGATATGTGTTGTGGTCAATTCAATACCCATAGAGAAGCCATAAAGAAGAAGAAGACCCAGGTTCGGTAATTTCTGATGGCATATGGAAAACCTGAAAAAAAAGAACAAATCAGTTCCATATCTATTGGTGAAAAAAAAAAAAAAAAAAAAAAAGTTATCATCTATATAAGAATAAGTCCTAGACAAAACTGACCTTGGAGAATTTATCTTTCTTAACTTCACCTTCTTTCTGTAGGGCACCAAGGTTTCCATCTGGCAATTCTTGGCCTAATGTTAGGACCAAAATTCCCGTAATGACATGAAGCCATCCAGGAATAAAAAACGCAATCCTCCAGGCGGTGAAGGCGTGGCCCACCGGCTAGTTTGATAATTTGAAAAACAAGAGGCATCAAAAGTTGGGTAACTCCACCACCCATACACCCACCCCCTGCACACCATTAACAATCCAAGTATTTTACCATTGAACATTATGTCGTCCATATTGGCAAATACAAACGTTGCTAAACAGAATCCGATCATAAATCGGCGCTAATACCCCTGTGCGCCGCAACAAATGACATGCAAAGACTGTTGGGGCGATAGCAATAAAAGAAAGGCAGTGCCGTATCTTGCCCCTATAAGGGTCACCAAACTGCACCCATTACAGCCTAGAGAATATACTTCCGGAAACAGAAGCACCCCGGCATTACCAACATCAGTTTTTGTTAAATTGAGGTTATCACGGATGATTGGAACCAAGGGAGCGGCGGCGAAGGTGGAGATAAAACAAGTGAAAAACGAAACCCAAGCTAGGTGGAAGGTTCTCATGTGGGGTTTAAAGCAAAGAGAGGTTTGAAAACTTGGCCCTGTGTTCAACACTGGTAAAGCAAATTTAGCAGTTGTATCAGTGGGGACAGCGGCGATTCGACTGATAAGGCAAGGTTTGTTCTCTGCCGGTTATTCCATGCATGGAGCTTCCAAAGGAACCTTCACTCTGTGGCATTTTTTCTTATTTTTCTGTGGAAGAAAAAATAAAATAGTGACTAGAAAAGAAGTGAGGAAACAATAACACACAACGGTATGTTTTGGTGTTATGTATTGGGGATGGAACACGCCTGCTATTTAGAGAACTCGCGAGATACCCAGCACATGATAAAATGCGCGGGATTGGTGTATGAATTTTTTTTATAAATATCAAATAAAAAAATCACAATATTATATATATATATACTAAAAGAGAGAGAGAGAGAGATAATGTCCAATACCCTTTATTTCCTTCGAGTAAATTAGTTCAAGTTATAATATTGTCTATTACACTTCTTCGTTACTTTCTACTCTACACGTTCTGGAGTTGGTGACTCCAACGAGCACATTTGGTTCAAATATTATGATTTCAATAAATTTACTAAAGAATATTCCATTCAATGCCATAAATGACTGCAAAAGAAGTTGGGCCGAAAAGAATTCTACAAGTTTTCATTAATCAGATAAATGGGCTTAAGTATAATTAATTTCGGATATTTTTTTTATTATTATTTCCTAATTTTTACCTCTGAAAAAAAGAAAAAAGAACGTTTAATTTCTCTTTAGAACTTACATTTAAAAAGAGGCCAAACGTATGAACTGATCAAGTTAACATAACCGGAAACTGTTGTGGGTCAACTAACAAAAGAGCGAAACATAAATAACAAGGAACGCAGTGCATAAAATAATGGTGTTGTAGTTATCTAGTTTAGTTTGAGCTGTAGTCGTCAACTCACGATTACAGGACCAAGCTAGTGGTGATAGTGGTGACTCTTGTTGGCTGTGTTTTACAACCTATCACTGCTTTATAATAAGCCTAGAAGAGCAGCATTGTTGCAGTGGGAGTGTGTACAAAATATTTATTCCTCCACACTCGAAAATAGACCTGGAGTGCCATACACATAATAATCAGTTATATGCAAATTTTTTCATTTTCACAAAAACTAAACTTTTGTACGTTATTCCAGCCAAAGAAGTCAATGGAATTTAGGTATATACCAAAAACAAATCCTGAATCTACAAGAAACTGATATATTTTATTACTAAAGATTAACTACTGGTGTAAACTAACATGGAGTTATTTGATCACGTTGGAAAGGGCCCAAACGTAAGGATAAGGCCTTTTTTTATAAGTTTTGGCGTCTGTCAGACCTTGATTAAGAATAAATCTTTTCATTGGATTCAAATACACTATAGATTGATGATATCTATTACGCATCTAAATCTATGTAAAATGCTTTGGACAGAATACTATATACTGTATACATATTGAAACTATTATTTATTCTGGCCAGAAATTGTTAATTTATATTAGAGAGGGATTGATGAACCAATATATGCTAAAACTTTGATTCCTATGGAATGAAATAAAAGATATATATGACGGGACGAACGGAAAGCAAATGTGATTGATTCTGCGAATTAATTTATGTAAAGTCAAATGATGAGAAGAGAGAAAACCGAAGGAAATACAAAGCAATTATGTGCCTTCATGTGGAAGTTAGGTGAAAGAACTGAATAATAAAAATAAGAGAAGTGACCATGTGGGAGTCTCAAAGAATAGATTAGAAAAAGTCAACAAGAAAATTCAGATAAAAATATTCACATGGGGGAATGACTTCACAAATCCAAATACAAATTTTATATATTGATTTATAATAAATGAAACTGAAATAAAAAGAAAG